ACAAGGAGCCACCACTGCTGATTCCATGTACATTAAAAGAGTAATAAAGGAATATTGTGACTAACTTTACAACTGTAATTTGGTAGTGATGAATATATATATGTGGGATGATGGGTGTGTTAATTAACTTGATGTGGGGAATCCTATTCAAGCATATGCTTATATCTAATCAATCCATTGTACATTTTAAATAGTTTACAATTTTGTCCACCATATCCTACCTAAAAAAGCTTAAGAAAATTCTACCATATATATATATATTATACATATATGTATATATGTATGCATATATATATATTATACATATATATTTTTTTATCTTCACCCGAGGACATTTTTGCATTTATCTTCAGATAGAGCGGGAGGGAGACAGGGAGGAAGAGAGAAAGAGAAACATCGATGTGAGAGAGACACATCGACTGGTTGCCACCCACACAACCCCAGCTGGGGCCGGGGACAAACTGCAACCGAGATACATGCCCTTAGCGGGAACCAAACCTGGGATTCTCTGGTCTGCAGGCCGACGCTCTAACCGCTGAGCCAAACTGGCCAGGGCATCTACCAAATATTTAAGGAAGAAATCACACCACTTTTGTACAATGTTTTTCAGAAAGTAATAGAGGGGATGTTTCCTAACTCATTTTGTGAGGCCAGGATTATATCATCCAAATGTTGCAAGAAAGGAAATCTATAGACCAATATCTGTTATGGACATAGATGCAAAAATACTCAACACAGTATTAGTATATCGAATTCAACATGTACCAGAAGCATACACAGTGGACCTGTGAACAATTGCAGGGGATATGGGCGCCGACTCCCTGCATAGCCGAAAATATGTGTTATAACTTTTGACTCACCAGAACTTAACATCTAACAGCCTGCTGTTGACCAGAAACCTTACTGATAACATAAACAGTCAATTAGCACATATTTTGTATGTTATATGTATTATATACTGTATTCTTACAATAAAATAAGCTAGAGAAAAGAAAATGTTAACAAAATCATAAGGAAAATATATTTCTAGCATTTGTTGAAAAAAAAATCCATATATAAGTGGACCAACAGTTCAAAGGTCAACTTCACAGTGTAACCAAGTGGGATTTATTTCAGGCCTGCAAGGCTTATTCAACATTCAGAAATCAGTTAATATAATCCATTATATCAATGGGCTAAAGAAGAAAAACCATATAATCATTTCAGTAGATGCAGAAGAAACATTTGATGATATCCAAAACCTATTCATGGTATAACCTCTCAGCAAACTAGAATAGAGGGGGATTTTCTAAAATTGATTAAAAAAAAAAATCTTCAGAAGTTTTATAGCTAACATCATACTTGATGGTGACAAACTAGCAGGTTTTCTGCAAAAATCAGGAAAAAGGAAAGGATCCCGTCTATTCAACATCCATAAAAGATTTACAGATTGAGGAGGTAGAAATAAAACTGACTTTATTTACGGCTGACATGATTGTCTACATTGAAAATGTGAAAGAATTAACAACAACAAAGAAAACAAAAACTACAAGAACTAGTAAGTGAATATAGCAAGGTTGAGGATACAAGGTTAATATACAGAATCATTTGCTTTATTATTATACTAGTAACGAGCAACTGGAATTTGTCATTAAAAACACAATATCATTTATATTAACATAAAAAAGAGAGAAGTAGGTGTAACTAACAAAATAAACAAGGTCTATGTGACAAAACCTATAAAACTGATTAAAATAAATCAAAGAAGAACGATCTAAATGAATGGAGATGCATATTTATGGATTGGAATACTTAATATTTTATCAGGGCATCAGTTCTTCCCAACTTGATCTATAGATTTGACATAATCACAGTCTAAATCCCAGCAAGTCATTTTGCGTATATTGACAAATTGAGTCTGAAGTTTATATGGAGAGGAGAGCCAACACAATATTGAAGGAAAAGAATGTTGGAGGACTGACATGACCTGACTTCCAGACTTGCTATGAAGCTACAGTAATCAAGAGAAATGTGGTATTGGTCAAAGAATAGATAAATAGATCCAGGGAACAGACTAGGGAGCCCAGAAATAGGGGCACACAAATTAGCTGAATGTTGAGAAGGAATGAAAGTTTAATGGAGAAAGGACTCTTTTTTTTTTTTTTTTTTTGGTATGTGCCCCTAGCAGTAACTGAACCTGGGACTCTCTGGTCCGTAGGCTGACACTCCAACAACTGAGCCAAAGCCAAACTGGCTAGGGTGAGAAAGGACTCTTTAATAAATGGTGTTGGAATATCTGGACATACACATGCAAAAAAAAAAAAAGAAGAATTTAGACACGGATCTTACACTTTTCACAACAATTAATTCAAAATGGATCAAAGACTTACATGTAAACACAAAACTATAAAATGCCTAGAAAATAACATAAGGGAAAATCTCAGTGAACTTCCATTTGGCTCAGACTTTTTAGTGAAAACACCAAACACAGAATCCACCAAAGGTAATATTAAGTTGGACTTCATTAAAATGAAAACTTCTACTCTGGGGAAGACGCTAAGAGAATGAAAATACAAGCCACAAACTGGGAGAAAATATTTGTAAAATGCATATCTAATAAAGGACTTACATCCAAAATATACAGAGAACTAGAAAAACTCAACAAGTAAACAACCCAATTTAAAAAATGGGCAAACGATCTAAGAATGAAGAGGGAATTTTACATTAAAACAACTAGATACCACTACACAACTATTACAGTGATTGGTAACACCAGATGCTAAAAAACAGCAACTCTCATTCATTGCTGGTGCTAATGCAAAATGTTCATGCCATTTTGGAAGATAGTTTGTCAGCTTTGTAAAAGGTTAAACATGCAATCCACCAGTCATGCTCCTTGGTATTACCCAAGTGAGTTGAAAACTTAAGCCACACAACAATGTACACATGAATGCTTAGAGAAGTTTTTGCATAGTTACCAAAACTTGAAGCCACCATGATGTCCTTCAGTAAGATGAATGGATAAACAAACTGATACATTCAGACCAGGGAATATTGTTCAGTTATGAAAAGGAATAAACTATCAAACCATGGAAAGACATGGAGGAAGCTAAAATGCACACTGCTAAATAAAAGAAACCAATCTGAAAAGCTACTTCTATTCAACATTCTTTTCAATCATACAATATACTGTATGATTCCAAGCATCTGACACTGGTGAAAGGCAAAATTACAGAGAAAGTAGAAAGATCAGTGGTTGCCAAAATTCCAGGGACGAGGGAGGGAGGGAGGGAGGGATGTAGGGTAGTGCTTAGTGAATTTTTAGGGCATGAAAACTATTCTGTATGATATAGTATGGTCGGTACATAAAATCCTACTTTTTAAAGTATCCATAGAACTGTACAATATAGAGTAACCCCTAATTCAAACTATGGACTTTAGTTATTAAGAAATTATCAATGTTGGTTCATCAGTGATAACAAATGTACCACACTAACACAAGATGTTTCAATAGGGGAGACAGTGGGGGGAGGGGGGCAGTATATGTGAATGCTCTGTACTTTCTGTTCAGTTTTTTTTTTTAAGCCTAAATTTCTAAAACATAATGTTTATTAATGCAAAGCAAACACTTAGTAAAACGGGAATTCCACGAAAGTAGATTGCCATACAAGTCGATTACCATGCTTGTCGATGATCATACAAATGTGTAAATATCTAAGCACAGAATGGTCCATGGAAACATTGTTCATATAAGTAAACATAATAAATACCTATATTATAATATGTAAATACATTGCAAAACTTGTAGCCATTAAAAAGGTGAAAATGGAGAGGAGGGTAGGAATTAGAGAGAAATTTAGGAGTTAGAATTTATAGGACACAGTGACTGAAGGAATGAATGGAATCTAATATGTTACTTAGAACTCTGCCTTGGACTGAACTGAGCAGGGGAAGAGCGGGGATTGTGATCAGTCTAGTCCTGGATTCACTGTGCCCCATGTTTCTGTGGGTGATAATGCCCAGGAAGCAATCAGATATATGGGTCTTGAACAAGAGTGAGTTTGGACACAGGTAGTGGGAGTCATAGGAGTTGATAAAATTACCCAGCAAAAGTGAGAGGATTAGAGGCCAGAAAAGTAAAAATAAAATCAGGAGAAATTATGTCATGAAAGCCAAAGGAGAACACATTCCAGCAGGGAATGTTTCACAGAGATCAAGTATGATCACACTGAAAAATGAATATTGGATGTGGTAGCATGGCAGTTCTGGGTTGTCCTGGACCAATCCATGGTGACAGATTGCTAGCATTGTTATTGCCCTGGTGCAGCATCGACCCTTTTGTCCTGAAAATATTTATCTTGGGACATTAGTCCCACAACATTTCTTAGAGTCTTTTATATGCTAGTATACATTGAAAGTCTCTTAAACGGGGTTTCTCAATTTGGTCTAGGAACTCTTCTGTTGTTGTTTTAGCATTTTTCAGGACTGATGTTATTTAGAACACAGCTTAGGAAACATTGGGGAGTTCCAGCCTATGAAGAAGTTTGATGATAAAGAAACCAGAGAGGTATGGGGTAGGTAGTAACTTGTGGGAATATATACCATTAAGTCAAGACTTCAGGATCCTTATAATAAACAAAGTGAAGAGTCTAGGGATATAAAGAGAGTGGTATTACAGGAGGGGAGGATTTGGAGTCTCAGAAGAGATGAAAGGGAATAGAATCCTGAGAGTGAGTGTCATTTTGAACAGAAATAAGAAAGTAAAAAAGGATGTAGCTAGATGAGGACAGTGCCAGTTTTTCTATTTGGTGAAGCCAAATAATAGCTTGTCTTGCAGACGCAAAATAGAAAATTTTACTTCACTGTGCTTTTGAAAAAAGAAAAATTCATGGAGACTGTGATATTACTTAGTATTCCTAATTCTGTAATTTAGTGGATATGTGTGAGATGTGTCCAAGTAGAAATTTTGGCTATGCTTATACTAGAAGTCTGAATGATTTTTAAAATTTCATATTTCACAGGATGCCAGACATGCAGCTGAAGAAGAGATTTATACCAACTTAAATCAGAAGATTGATCAGTTTCTGCAGTTGGCTGACTATGACTGGATGACAGGAGATTTGGGCAACAAAGCTAGTGACTATCTAGTAGACCTCATTGCCTTCTTACGGAGCACCTTTGCTGTATTCACACACCTTCCTGTAAGTGACAATTACTTCACTTTGCCCATAATATAGAAAAAGTTTCTCTTAAAATTTACTTGGGTGGAAAATGTCTTTTTCTGGAAGCTCTGCAGAATATAAAAGCTCACACTATAATTATCATCCTTTAACAAGATTTAGAGACCACTTGCATTATTTTTTCATCTACTTTTGCATTTTGTTGATTCTGAAAATAGTCTCTAATATTATGTGTACTTATATTTCTTCTAACGTAAGGGTAATTAGTGCAAACATATAATGAATGCCTTGATAGAGAAGAGAAACTTAGGAGTTAGGATTACAGATATGTATTTTTTTAGTTCTAGAATGTCCATTTAATTTTTTTTTGTAACCTCAAATTTTCTGGTAAAATTCTCCATTTTTTTTTTCAGATTTGTTTATCTTTTCTCTATTTTCTTGAGCATATAATCATAGTCATCCTAAAGTCTTTGTTTATTAATGCTAATGTATATACTTTACCTACATATTGGTGGATTTGTTTCTGATTCCATTTTTTCTTTGGTTATCAGTAATATGGTCCTATGTCTGCTAACTATTTTTTGGTTGCTATCAAACACTCTGTTTAAAATATGTAGAGGTTCCTGGTAATATCTTCTTCCACCAGATTTGGTTTACTTTTTCCCTTATTAAACAGGGAGAATGGGTTAGTGAGTTGTGATTCAATCATTACCTTGATCCAATCATGAGCTGATCTGGGACAAGCTTGGGTTGTGGTTGTGTGTGTCTTTGGTTTGCCCCTGGAGATAGAATGTGGTTCTTCAGCGCTTTCGATGAGAGCCTGGCAGGTCGTTGTCTCTTCATCTCAACAAAGATTATGGAAATTTCCACTTTTCAGAGAAACTGTTATTACTTCAGCCTCCTCCTGTCTTCTTTGACTTCAGAATTTGGTAACTGCCTTGAGAAGGAGTCTTTCTCAGATCAACAATTGCCAACAGGAAAAATAGTGGTTGGAGGCTGTCAATGTCAACTTGCCACTCCAAAGCTTTGGGCTCCCACCTGAGAGTCTCATGAATCCTCCCACTTGTGAGTCTATTTCTCTGAAGCACTAAAGACTGGGAAATCTTACTTTGCTTTTCAGAGGTTGGTTTAGACACTTATTTTTCTCAGCTGTGTAGCTTTAGATTAAAAAAAATGTCTTGTGGAGAAAATTGGCCCTCAAATCTCCAATTTTAGCGCTTCAGCTTCATAACAGAAGCAACAAAAATTTAGTGATATTTTTTCACCCCAGTAGCTGTTCTCTGCCTGGACCTAACCAGATTCACAGTCTGTTCCAAGGCCTAGGTTTGGCAGATGCCTCCAGGGACAGCCACAGGTCCTTAGCTCATCTTTAAAAGGTTTGCCCTCTTTGCAGTTTTATTCCCTATAGTCCTTATTGCTTCACAGTCTTCTGGTGACTTAAAACATATATTTTTTTCTAGTTTTTTTTTACTGTCTTTTCTAGTGCTTAGTGGGAGCATTGGCCTGTAGAAAAACAAGATGATCTCATCTTGATACCAAGGCCAGACAAAAGTAGCACAAGAGAGCAAACTACAAACTAATCTCACAATTATGGATAAAAATATAAAATAAAGTTTTAGCAAGTCGATTTCAAAGTGTTTTGAGAAAGCAATTTAGTACTACTATGTAGGAGTTATTCTGGAAATGCAAGAATGGTTTGATATTTTAAAGTCTATTAATAAAATTTATCACATTAATAGATGGAGATAAAATATATAATTATTTTTATATTTTCTAAAGAAAGGCATTGTATTAACATCCAGCTTGTATTCCTGATTAAAAAAACAAACTTAATGAAATACAGGCAATGGCCCTGGCCAGTGTGGCCTCAGTTGGCTGGAGCATCGTCCCATACACTGAAAAGTGGCAGGTTCTATTCCTGATCAGGGCACATACCTATGTTGCCGGTTCAGCCCAGTCCTTGGTTGGGGTGAACCAACCAAGGCAGCCAATCAATGTTTTTCACATTGATGTTTCTCTCTGTCTTCTTCTCAAATCATCGAGTGAGGATAAAAAGTACAAGCAATGTAATATTTCAGTAACATGATGAAGAACATCTATATGAAATTCAGCAGCCACCATAGATTTACCAGTGTAACTCTAAAAACATTTATTTGCATTAATGTTAGAAGTATGGTGAAGATGCTTCTCATAGCTTCTTTAGAAGTTCTATCAAATAAATAAGGTAAAAAAAGAAATAAACTATAAATATTGTAATGAGCCATAATAATGTCATCATTCATAGATTATTATTGTATAGTTGGATAATCCAAGAAAATCAACTGAAAAATAGTTGGGACCAATAAGACCTTTTAGTTAGATGGTGCAGTTATAAATCAAATCAACTTCTCTTATATTAGTAATACCCTAATAGAAAATATATTGCAAAAAATGCCCTATTCTCTATTGGAGCATAAGATGTAAGATTTCTGAGTACACTTAACAAGTAATATGTGGGATTTTGCTACTCGAGCAAAATCTTGAGTAAGATTTTGAAGTATAAGAAAAACATGCAATAGTTCAAAGTCATCTGGATAAGTTTTTCTATATTCATCTTCTTTTTTTTCCCCCTTATTTTTACAAAATAAAAACAGCAACCTAATGACTGTGTTTATACATGTCACGTAACACATCGTGGTTCCTTACTTTAACCTCCTGGCCATTTAGAAGTAGTACTGTGAATCAAACTCAAGTTTGTCTAACTCAAAGTGCATCTTTTTCCACCCGTGGAGTTGTGCCTTTCTTATAGGACCGTATTATAAGAAACTAGTTGAGGATTCATTGTTTCTCTTGTTTATTTTGAGCTGCCTTTGCTACCTAAATACTGTAACTTCTTAGGATGGATTGAGATGATCCTACCATTCAGAATCACCTTACACTTACTACTCAGAGTCAAAGTCAGAGGTAATTCACTGCCTGAAATCTTCAATATTGCATCTACAAGTGCCACTTTTCTGTCTTGCCTAATACAGAGATCTCTTTGTGAAGCCACACTTTAAAAAAGCAGTTACATTCACCAACCATTTTATTCTTTCTATATAGAGTCAAATTAGTATGGCTTCTAAATCTTTCATCTGGTTTTCCGCAGAGAGCAAATAGATCACCCAGCCCTTGTGTGTATGCTCCCCAGCATGCTAGGTAATTTCTTCATAGAACCTCATATTAATAAAGTGGATTAGAAAATCAAAACTATGTCTAGGATTTGCTATTATGTATTAATAGCAAATTATGAAAAATGAGAGAGGAAGGAGCTATTTCTGAGAAAGAACCAAATCATTTGTCTTTTAATTAATATCACTATTTCTTTTCATATTTGCAGTTCCCTGGCAGGAATGGCTCTCTGTCAAAGAGGGATATTGGATGATAGGAAATGTGTATATGGTTCGGAAAGAACTGTAAAGAAAAAGGCAAAGACTCGCCTTACATTTTGAGATCCCCAGTTTTTCATAGTCTTAGGGATGTTTTATCACCATAACATCAACATAGCCAAAGGAATAGGTCACTAGGGTGTGTGTGTGTGTGTGTGTGTGTGTGTGTGTGTGTGAGGGTGTCCTAGATTACACTCCATTAGACAGTGAATGGTGAGGGGGAAAATGATTGAAATTTGCAACTCTTTTCCCCTTGAGGTTTGGTAACTATGGTGGCCTACCTATTTTCATGAGACAACCAGGAATGATTATAATAATATGGTTTTCCATAGTTAAGAGTTCTAAAATGTTGCTGTGTCCTTTGAGTTAACAGATGAGGTAAGCTCACAAGCATTTTTTCAGGCTCCAATTGTATAATTTCCAATTGCATGCACAGCTACCCGTTCTGCATGCTCAGCATAAGTGCAGACTTTTGAGAATGTATCCTGTTATCCTGATAATTATCTTGCAGAAATGCCTGAGAGAGAGAGAGAGAGAGAGAGAGAGAGAGAGAGAGAGAGAGAGAGAAAGAGAGAGAGGAAATGCTTTCTCAAGTAACAGACCCAAAGGAGGGAATCCTGAATTCCTTTTCTCTGCTGCTGTTCATTTATATGACCTGAGACAAGATGTCTCTTAACCCACCACGGTTTGCCTTAACTCTCTGATTAAAAATACAGTGATACCTGTCCTTGGCCTTCCTTCTTGGGCAGTGAGTTGATGGGTCATCTTTAAGGAAAGTTATTTTTTATGTAGAATTTTCTCAGATTCTTCCTGTCTAAAACCGTCTAAACCTGACATTCACTCAGTTTTGTGAACTGTTCCCATCTCAGCAGTAACCACATGATTCTGCTATGTAAAAACCCTCAGTGCCACCCATTAAGCACAAACTCTTCTCTGTGACCATCAAGGCTTTTCATATTGTGACTCCCAAGCCCCCTTTCTGACTTTATCTCAGTTCTCTATTTGCCCAAGACATTCCTCCCCAAACTGAAATAATGCTCTTTGTCAAATACACCCAACTGTTGCTACCTTTGGTTTTTTTTCATGCTTCATTGTCTACTTTAACTGCTTTTGCCCTTTAACTAATGTATATAGAAATCTTACCAGTATTTCAAGGCTTATTTCAAATCCTACACTTTCCATGAAACCTTCTCCAGTTCTCCTAACCAGATACAACAGCTTTCTTCTTTATGGCACTTGGTGTTGCCCAAGATCAGAAAATGAATCAACAATGTGGGTAGGTCCTAAGTCTTTTTACTTTGGGTCATGCTTTTTCCATAATATAAAATCGTCTTTTATTATTTAATAGTAGCTACTATCTACTGAGTACATAACATGTACCAGGTACTATGTTAAGCATATGCATATTCTCTGTATGTATGTATACACACATATATAAATGGGTGTGTATATATGAATTTGTTGCAAGAAACAAATGAGAATATATATTCATACACATGCATACATGTAATTGCATATATTCTCATATACATATATGTATTTATATGCATATATATTCTCATTTTTTCTTTGTAATAAATTTGTAAACAAGTATTATTATACCATTTTACAGAT